TTCCGTCATCACCCGGCGGGTGCTGATAGCGCGCACGCACCGGTGAGACCTGAACAGCACACATTGATATCTGTGTTTAAACTAAACTCGGTGAAGCTTTGCCAGTTTAAACATTTAAGAGCCAGAGGACGCGAGCTCGCACGCGCAGTGAGAAGATTTGTGCGTGCGCTCATACGAAGCGCGCACCATGGATTTACTGTAGTAACACTCACTGCACCATGGTATTGTGGCTGAAATTTGGGATATTCACACTGAATTTTATTAAAATAATGGTATATACTTATAGCATGTATTTGTGATTAAGCTATAGCATGTGTGCATTTATACTGAATGTTTTTAGACTACTGTTTTTCATACAAATAGGCTACCTAAAAACCATATAGTTATATTTTTACCATCGTATCGAGGTGCTATATGCGTGGTTTTAACTGTCTATCATGATTTAAATGTATACTACTATGGGAGACCAATGCTTCATTTAAAAAATAAATAAATAAATAAAAACTTGGTCCGATTTAAACTTGAAAGGAATAAAGATTTGACATGTACCGTGATAATTATCTATATCGACTGATATTAAAAAAGTATCGTTATTTTTTTGGCCATATCGCCCAGCCCTACTTGTACCCAAAACACCTTCACTGTAGGACACAACCAGGTAGAATGCAAAAATGGTGCAAAACATTTCTAAAGGGGTTTTATCATTCAGTTTACATTAAAAATGGCTGAGTTAGTGAATGTTGGAATTGAGCAGGTGAAGTAATTTACATGCTCTGCAGAGCAGCTCAATTCATTCAGAAAAAAAATCTTCTTATCTCTGGAGCTTCACATCAGCTATGAAACCCCAGTTCCTCCCAGGCTGGGATTTACAGAAAGCGGCCGTTCTGCTGTCGACCCATCTGGGTGACAGTAATGAAGTTGGCAAGGCTGTGAGATTGAGTGTGACAGCAGGCTTAAAACGTGAGAGGGAGAATTTTTTATTTTTTTTGTGGCCTGTTGCACGGAGGAGAAAAAGAGCATTTCTAACTTCCATATTAAATATATATTAAGTAATATATGATTTATAAGTGCATTTAAATAAAATAATTTATATATCCAAACATCCAATATATCAAGCAACATCCAAAATGTAAATAATCTGTGATGGAGTAGTTTGCAAATGCTTGAAAAAGCCAAAATAAAATGTTTGTTTGTTTATTTGTGTGTGTGTGCGTGCCAATAAGATTTAAATTATTTACATTCATTGCTTGAGGCATTACTTTTAAAGGTGCTATAGAAAATAAAGTTTATTATTATTTAATTATTATTATTATTAGTAGTAGTATTATTATAACATTTATTGTTAACTAACAATATTATCAGTATTGTTTTTGTTTTATTTAAGAAAAATATGAATATGAATATTACTAAAATAATAAATAACATTATTTAGTATTGTAACTGCTATTTTGTTATTTTATTTGTTTTAATAATATTATATATTGTTTATATAGTACTATTATATAGTGTTGTTTTTGATTTATTATTTTTATGTAAGAAAAAAGTAATAATAATAATGATAAATTGTTATTGTTAGTATGTAATTGTTAGTAATTTCTAACCACTTTCTTGTGAAAATGTGGGTATCATAAAAATATGTAATTACAAATCAATTTATTGTGATATGCTTATATTGATCACCCCTTACTGCAAATGTATAAAAAATGTGCTTGTGTCAGCATAGTTAGGTAGAATGTCTGAAGTTCAGGAAGCTCGTTTTACAAGAAAACCAAAGCATCTGTCTGATTCTGCAACAAATCATCTTAGAGACTAGTAGATGTTTGTGTGCAGAATGTATTGCCCATGATGACAAAAACTGTCATCCGTAAGTGAGCAGCCATTGGCCGTCCTCTTCATGTGGCTTTGCTTTTCTCTGCTGTTTCTTGAGTGTATTGTTTACACACACACACACACACACACACACACACACACACGTTTGTCAGTCTCCGCAGGGTGAATGTTGAGAGCTGTGGGCGCTGATGGCAGGCAGAGCGAGTGCTGAGCTCTGACAGGCCACAGCTGCTGCTGCTGCCCTCATTCAGCTTTGAAACATTTACTGACCTCATTGATAAATATTTAACTGTGTCGACTACAAATATTATGATTCCTTTTTTGTTTGTTTTTACTGAAACATTAATAGAATGTAAAATACCAGATAGATAGCTGTGTAAACACAGGCCTTCATCAGGTTAGACTCCATATTGAATTTAATGCGGATGAAGCCGAGACTGAAATTGACAAATATATTACTATTGTACAGAATAGAATTGATTTATCAAAGAAATAACAATAATAAGAACAATACGTGTTATTAAAACATCATTTTCAGGAATATATCACAATTTTTCATTCATTTCTAAATATAAACTGCAAACCTTACAGTTTGTGCAGCAGTTTTTTGCCAAAAATGAAAGGAATGGTTCAAATTTCATTTGATTACATTTTTAAATTATTATAAATGAGTTATGCGTTCATTGGATTACCACCATTTTTGAGAAGAATTTTGTATTAAATCATTAAACACAGTGCAGAAAAATTAAAACCATTGAATTTCTCATTTCACATGGCATTTTTATTATTTATATTGATTTGATTGATCAGATTTGGGCCCTAAACAGTTTTGCACATGCATGAAATATGTTCTTCACGAGGGTTTGTGAAAGCTGTACTGTGTTTGTTGGAGGAAGCTCTTTCCTGAATGTGAGGAAGTGGTGGGCTGTTCAGATCAGACCCCCTCCGAACACTCGAGCCCCTCTTCACAATATACAGAGGGTGGGGCACAGCAAAAGAGGAAATTACTCAATCCCATTGAAAACTCTACTATTACCACACGTTCTGCCATGAGTGTGCACATTTTTTTCAATAAGACACATTAATATTAGAGCATATGTGTCCAGCTTCTCTGAGACCGGCAGCACATTCACCATTCTCTGCTCTCCTCTCCCACACAGCTCCATCTTTTATTAATCAGTCTTCCCCCTACACCCCAGAGTGCTCCATACGTCTCACGGTCGAGGCTCTTTTGAGATTCAAGTGGCTCTTCCGCATAAAAGATGCCGCTTCAAAAGACTTAAAACACAATACAGCGGCCCGCTCACGTGGAGGCCGTTTCTGAACCAGGTTTCACGGTCACGGGTTTGTTACATTTCGCAAATCTCAGCACGCATGTTGAGGCTGACACCCAAACACTGCAGTAAAAAATAACAATGGTGTCCTTTAGGGTCGGCTGTTTCGGGTTTAGAGGCCGTAAACTCTGGGTTCCTTGTTTCCTGGTCGGGGTGTGTGCCTTTGCTCTTTCCTCTGATGACATTATGTGTATGTGTATGTGTGTGTGTGTGTGTGTGTGTGTGTGTGTGTGTGTGTGTGTGTGTGTGTGTGTGTGTG